AACGGGGATAAACATACCTGAATTGGTCTAATAGAAACTCTCGTTTGCAACTGTTGGACTAATGATTACACCCTATATCAAGTCAGTATTGAATGTCACTGTCTGTCACCTCAAATTTGTCTCTCGACCTGTGTGCACCTACGTTGTAAACTTTCATTCATAGGCTAGCTTGTAGCAACCTATGATGGGTTTAGGGAACATTAGAGTATCATGTAGTAGCCTAAACCTATCACTTTTACATTGAACTGGGTGAATGGAATATGAATGACAGTCATCCAATATGCTGTAATAGAAATAAGGCCATGCTTATTTAAAAAAAACGGCCTACCTCATCTTAAACGTCACTGACCGTTACTGGTGTCTGCTTGCTTTGGTGTGTGTGTATATGAAAGGGTGTGTTTGCGCACGAGTGCCTAGCAGGGCCAGCTGGATATCAGACAGGGAGCCTGCCTCATCTCCACAGGGATTTATGACTCAATATCCCACTCTGTGCCTCACTCACTCCGTGCCTCCCGCCCTAGATCTCTCGCTGGGGCCATGTTGCAACAAGAGTCAGGATGACACCACACTCTATCATGTTGAACAGACAGACACACGCGTGCTTGGCTCCCCCAAGGCTCCCCAAAGCCTGTTACTGTTGGTTTTAATTATATCCACATACTGTGCCTTTGATGTTGGGAGGGAGTTTGGAATGATTGAGGCGAAGAGTTCGCCAAAGGGTCACAGAGAAATAATTTAGATGTTGGCGTGTTGTCCAGGATAGAGGCCTAAATACCTCCCCTTATTTCACTTCTAGCTATAGTATAACTAGATGCCTTAGGGGTTCCTGAATTACAGCCAATAAATGTCTTAGTTTCATTAGTACAGGTTTCTGCTGAGTTGATCTATGTTTGATGATATGCATCAGCCAATGTACAAAGAGCAAATTCCATACCTCAAAGAACAAGACTATTGTCTGATGGATGTCTGAGTTCCCTCCCTCCCTCCCTCCCTCCCTCCCTCCCTCCCTCCCTCCCTCCTCCCCCTCTCCCCTCCAGGTGAGTTCAGCTACCTGGGTACGACCCTGCGCCAGGCAGACATTGAGCCCATGCCCTCTCTGTCAGACGTCAGACAGCTCATTGCCCTTTATGGGATCCTGCCTCTGGGTGAGTGAGAGAGAGCCCTTCCCATCCACACTCATCATTGTGACTGTGATCACATCACCCCACAACCTGGCCGCGCCAGTCTGATACCACATCACCCCACAACCTGGCCGCGCTAGTCTGATTCATACTTATTGTACTTGCAACACACACACACACACACACACACACACACACACACACACACACACACACACACACACACACACACACACCTTACATACTATACAGTATAACATTACTCACTAATATCTGGATGTGTGAGCTGGATCAATTATTTATTGCATCCCTCTTCTAAAGCCACCTTCCTTTGATGTCATATGGCCTATGATAACAGTTAGGGTTAATTAATGATGTCTATATGAAAGTCAGTTCAGGACTGCTTTCCTATGAAGCAATTTGACTGAGAGGTACTAGAATTGATCCCGACCACCTCATAATCCACCTCAGTGCCCTGCCCATGTCTCCCTGCTGTGCCAGGATTAAGAGTGGGCACAACAGCTCCCAGAGACAGAAAGGGAAACCCTAGAGAGCCACGGCTGGCATGGCATGAATTTTTCAGAGTAGAGTGTGTGTGATATGTATGAGTGTGTGAGAGGTGTGTGTGTGTGTGGCCTTGTGAACTGTGTGTGACCCTGGCTGCTCTTAACCAGCAGCTTTGATCCTTCAGTCACTCTCTCCTGGCTGTGCCTTTCTGTCACTGTGTCTCTGCCACCACTATGCTAGAGCTGCAGAACACAGGGGTGTCAGGTAACAGTGGTCCAGAACCCAGAATAGAATAGAACAGAACAGTGAAAACAAACAATACCAGAAGAGAGTAGAGTAGAGTAGAGTAGAGTAGAGTAGAACAGAATAGAACAGAATAGGACAGAATAGAACAGAACAGAACAGATTAGAATATTCCACACCACTGGATAATCTAGAAGCAGCACCTGGGCTGAAGCTAATCCAGGGATCCTAATGGTAATAGGATACAACTCACTGACGTTCACCCCAACCCTGAAGGGACGTGATCTTTCTCCCCAACACGTCTCATGTCACTCGGCGTTAAGAACCACCACCACCACCACCAATACATCACAACCACCACCATCATCACCACCACCACCACCATCACCACCCCCACCAATACATCACCACCACCACCACCACCAATACATCACAACCACCACCATCATCACCACCACCACCACCATCACCACCCCCACCAATACATCACCACCACCACCACCACCACCACCACCAATACATCACAACCACCACCATCATCATCATCACCAACACCACCATCACCACCACCACCAACACCACCATCACAACCACTACCACTACCACCACCATCATTACTAACCATCTGCCTTATGTAACCATACCATAACATATCATACTAATTTGTTACATTTAGTCTGAGACCAGGCTGACCATCATCACCACCACTACCACCACCATCACCATCATCACTCACACCATCACATCCCATCACAACCATCATTACCACCACCACCATCACCACTACCACCATCACCACCATCATCACAACCACCATCACCACCATCATCAACACCATCACAACCACCATCACCACCACCTCCTCAACCATCACCATCACAACCACCACCACCATCACCATCACCACCACCTCCTCCACCACCATCATCACCACCACTAACCATCTGTCTTATTTAACCATACCAAACATAACATATCATACTAATTTGTTACATCTAGTCTGAGGCCAGGCTGACCATAATCACCACCACCATCACCTGCTACAGTTTATTTATATCTGCACTGTGTACACACAACACTGCCTAAGCTTCCACCTCTTATTGTGAATGAATCACAATAGGACATTGTTGGGTTTTGTTGTTCCCGGAACTTTATTCTCATTCTCACCAAGAGTCGGCTCAGTTTCAGCTACTCTATGATGATTCAGTGATTCCTTAGAGACTGGTTTGGTTTTTTGCAATAGTCGTTCTGAAGTATAAGCATTGGATAATGGAATTGACAATAGTTTGAACTATGATATACTGTATAATGGGGTCAGTAGGTCAGTCTGGAGGGAGGCTGGCTAGTTCGTGTCCTTGGTGGAGAGATATCTCTGTGGACTCCCTTTGTTAGCGATTCACAGCCAATTGTCCAGACTGGCTTCTATCTCATTCTCAGTGAAGTGTCTGAGACATTTGGTGTACCACTTGGAGAGATTACACAAGGACTAGATGAAAAGTTTGCACCTGTTATTTTCACAAGAAAGCGACAACATTTGAACTTGATAGCGATCCTTATTTGAACCTGTTTTACATTATTGTTCAAGCTTCTACGTTTCATTTTCTATGGAAAAGGACAAGTGCACGTGTTGCACTAGTCAGTTGATCGGCTAATCTGTCCCAGATGGGTTAGAGGCAGGAAAGAGATCATCATTAGGCCTTAATGGGAGGAGTAGTCTTCTAATCAGGGCTCGTAGTGTACCTAATGAACTAACACTGTGATCTGATCTAACGGAGAGAGAAGTAACCCAATAAACAGCCTGCAGCATAGAAGGAAAGAGATCAGAGGCCAGAGCCTGTTGCCAGCTATTGTAGTTTTAATGAGTTCCGGTCAGAGCAGCAGGAGCGGGACTTCTTGGCTGGACCTACCCCAGGGACGGGAGGGGATTCCTGGGGACACGGGTTACACGGCTGCACCTGCTCTGGGTCTGTGGGTCTAGAGGTTAATGGAGGGGTGTTGTGAGTGGATGTGTTTGCTCTCACGCTTTGTGTCCTGGCCACTGTCCAGCCTGGACTTTTAATCACGGTTAGTATCAGAGAGCACACAATGCTGCACCCTCAGCCCAGCCTCACCCCAGCCTCACCCCAGCCTCAACCCACCCTCAGCCCAGCCTAAGCCCCAGCCCAGCCTCACCCTCAGCCTCACCCCAGCCTCAACCCACCCTCAACCCACCCTCAGCCCAGCCTCACCCCAGCCTCACCCCAGCCCAGCCTCACCCTCAGCCTCAACCCTACACCAACTTCAGCCCAGACTTAGACCACCCTCACCCTCACTCCAGCCTTAGCCCAGCCTCACCCTAAGCCCACCCTCACCCCACCCTCAGTCCACCCTCATCCCACCCTCAGTCCAACCTAACCCCAGCCTAAACCCAGTCTCAGCCCCAGCCCAGCCTCATCCAGCTGGGTAATTAAACTATTGTTCCCTGTGGTAGGAGGTTAACCTGGCTTAATCAGTTAATAACAGTTCAACAGCACTGCTGCTGCTGAGGGCCTCAGAGACCCCACAGGGCTACCAACACCTATGGTGACCTTATGGCTCTATTCAAACCACATCGCGGAAGTTCAGCTTTACACTGTGATTGAAATTTAAAGGCAATGTTCCCGCTTTAGCAGAGACTGCATTCACGGTAAACGCTGCATATGTCGTCTCTATCGGAAATTAGTTTTACATTTCTATCGCGGAATCTGTAACGCTTCAGCTTTACAGATTGAATAGAGCCCTTAGTCTCACAGGTTCATGGTTGCTGCTGTGTTGTCCTACTACTAGTGTATTCACAGCTTGGCTCAGTACAGTCTGGAGGTTACATTATACAGTCCTATCCTGGTCCGGCCCGGTTGCCACCCAACCATCACCATTTATATGTACTTCCCGTTCGACCAACATCGAGATTAAGCCATGTATATATATACCTCCTATAGATATCGCCATCCTAGATCTCTCTATCTTTGACGAGATCTCTCTCTTATGAGATATTCTAGTTCAACCATATATCTCTCATCTATCTCTCTGCTATACTTCTCTCCTCCTCTCCTCGCTATCACTCTCTCTCTCTCTTCTCTCTCTCTCTCTCTCTCTCTCTCTCTCTCAGGTTCCCAGTCTGTCCATCAGAAGGCTCCCCTGATGAAGACTCTGCTGCTGGCTGGTCCTGGGGGCGTAGGGAAGAGGATGCTGGTCCATGCTCTGTGCACTGAGACCGGGGCCAACCTCTTCAACCTGTCCCCCAGAAACCTGGCTGGGAAGTACCCTGGCAGGAGCTGCCTCCAGTACCTACTGCACATGGTCTTCAAGGTGGGCACCACACTGGGCACATCAATTTTACCATTGCATTCAAGTCACTATACGTTTTAGACACTTGCATTTTTTATTTTTTTTATCTGCTACAATGAAGACAGGAGTGATTGACAGAATGCATAAAAATGGGCACATGTAGGAGGGGAGAGGTCATTGTCTGGTTTGATTCAGATAGTATATGCACACATACTGTATGCCCCACAAAAACCATTTGGCTGTGTACATGATTCATTATCTGTGTTGTGAATGAAATGCCTGCGGTTGTAGTCAGGAATAAGCTGCAATATGAGCTTGATGTCGCTATATGTTGCTATGTCAGCTTGATGTTGCTATGTGTTGCTATGTCAGCTTGATGTTGCTATGTCAGCTTGATGTTGCTATGTGTTTCTATGTCAGCGTGATGTTGCTATGTGTTTCTATGTCAGCTTGATGTTGCTCTGTGTTGCTATGTCAGCTTGATGTTCCTATGTGTTTCTATGTCAGCTTGATGTTGTTATGTGTTGCTATGTCAGCTTGATGTTGCTAAGTGTTGCTATGTCAGCTTGATGTTGCTATGTGTTTCTATGTCAGCTTGATGTTGCTATGTGTTGCTATGTGAGCTTGATGTTGCTATGTCAGCTTGATGTTGCTATGTGTTGCAATGTCAGCTTGATGTTGCTTTGTGTTGCTATGTCAGCTTGATTTTGCTCTGTGTTTCTATGTCAGCTTGATTTTGCTCTGTGTTTCTATGTCAGCTTGATGTTGCTATGTGTTGCTATGTCAGCTTGATTTTGCTCTGTGTTGCTATGTCAGCTTGATGTTGCTATGTGTTGCTATGTCAGCTTGATGTTGCTATGTCAGCTTGATGTTGCTATGTGTTGCTATGTCACCCAGATGATCAACACAGTTGTCTATCGGTCAACACAGTTTTTGTTCACGGTTACACTGTGACATTCTGCACCACTGACTCATCTGAGACATGGGGGGGGAGAGACATGGGGGGAGAGAGAGAGACATGGGGGGAGAGAGAGATTTGTCTTGCTTGGACACCTCTCTATGCAGCTGTCTTGAGAGGCAAACAAACCAGGAGCCCATAGCCACATTGTTCTGAATCTGGCCTGTCAGCACCTAGGTCGGCACCCTCTCTAAGTGCATGTTGAGATCAGGAGCGTGTCCTGACAGCACTTCCTGCTTGCTGAGGCAGTGTTGGTTTCTAAAAGGCTTGTAACATTTGGGTTTGACTGCCTCCCTCACCCCAAGTTGTTTTTGCCAATGCCAGCCATGGAAACACTGCAAGTCCACAATGCAGTATCTCCAAAGGCCTGTATGTGTCATAACTAACGACTTACTAACTCCTCTTCCTCCCCTTTGGGACAAAAGGCAATAATGAGCTCTTTCCACCGCTTTCTGTCCTTGGCCACGTGTTGTGCCTCGTCACACGAGATGTTCATCTTGGCCAGCTCGTCCGTCACCGTTCTGCGCCAGGTAGTTTTAGGCCTCACAGGTCTTCTTCTCCCTGGTAGAGTCCACCTTTTTGGGATGCCATCTTGTTCCTTCTGGAGAACATGGCCAAGCCAACACATTCGTCTGATCTTGATTTGATGGGTGATGCTCTGGCTTTTGGACTTCCTTTAGAGTTTGTGCTTGGTGATGTTATTTGGCCTGAAAATGCAGCAAATTCTTCAGGGGAATCCATTATGGAATGCCTCAATCTTCTTCATGTCCGCTTTGATGACCCGCCTGCATTCAGACCAATACAACAGGATGGACTTTACATTGCTGAATAACAGAGAACATTTTTTATGTACTCTTTGGTCACACTTTATTTGGATAGTCCATCTGTAGATGCTCTACAAACTATCTGTTGATAAGCAACTGACTATCTGTTGATAAGCAACTGCTTGCTAAGGTTACGTTAGGATTAGGGTAAGGCTTAGAATAAGGATTAGGGTAAGGTTTATAATAAGGGTTGGGGTAAGGGCTAAGTTTAGGGTTAGGATAAGGGTTATGGTTAGGGCTAGGGTAAGGAGATACTCTGTAGTTTAAATGTTACTGATAGTCTAGTTAATGTACGATTTGTGTGTGGGTGTTATTTTGTTTGTGTGTCTGTGTGAGACTGTTACTGATGTTTCTGCTGGTTAGACTGTTTGTTTTGTTGAGGTTACTAATTTGCCCGTATGTGAGAGAGTTGTCAGGGGGAGAGTTGTTTGTACATTGGCGTTAATGTGCGTGGGTGAAATAATAGATGTGACGGTTGCTTCTCTGTGTTGCTTTGTTTTGCTGTGGCAGGTGGCTCGCCAGCTGCAGCCCTCTGTAATATGGATCGGAGATGCAGAGAAAACCTTTTATAAGAAAGTCCCAAAGCCGGAGAAAGAGGTACATTTTCTACACAACAGCAGCATATCTCAATACCAGTGTTCATTTTGTCAACAAAAATGGTGAATGAAATATTCGGCAAACACATATTTTTCAGTGGCAATTGACGAGACTATAACTGACTAAATAGAACCAGAAAAAAATGTTTTTTAATTGTAGTTGACTAAAACGAGACGAGACGAAATTATCTCTGTGACTAAAATCTGGTGGACTGAACAATAGTTTTTTTGGAGAGATTGAGAGCTTTTCAGTGAGAAGCACAATTAATATTAGCAGAACAGATGCACAGTGCAGTTGTGTTCAGCAGTGGGAAGGACGCACCACACCCGGCACACACAGTCTAGCCTACATCAGCTGCTGAGCTGCGGGGGAGCAAGCGATGTGTGTGGGCAGACAGGCTCCACTCCGGCTCCGCCTCCGATTATACACATCGCGCAGGCGACTCTGTTGCTTCCTCGTAGCTAGCAAGTCACCACAAGCCTTCTAGTTAGATACCCTTTGCCTGGTTAAGAAACACAAGATGCTTTACAAAATGAAAAACAATAGCAGCATTAAGTTTAATAGTAAAACAACAGTCTAGCTATGTTTTTCTCTCCCTTGAGTATAGAAACGTTTTTGAATTTGTAGCCTCGCTCAACCCTCACACTTTCCCCACTGCGTTTCATAGCCAGGTTCTGTAGCCAACGTGCTAGCCAAGTCTCCCTCTTTTCCTCCGAGAAAACGGCTCTATTCTAGCCATTACCTTTCAAAGGATATGACTCATATTACCAGCGCTACGTTTCTTTCCTTTCTATCATGCATTGGCAGGCCGTTCTAAAACTAGGCTACTTGCGGACTCGATTGGGACTCGAGGTTAAGTGAATCGACTACGTCACTGGGTGAAACAGTCATTAGCTCCCATTCAAAGTCATTAGTCCTCGTACTACTTCTGGACATCAATGCCTGTGGAATGTTGATAACAATGACATCACAGAGTGACAACACATACTACTTTACCAATACTTTACAGCACTATCTGGTGATTGTGCTTCTCTCTCTCTCTCCCTCTGAGCTTGTGTGTGCCTGAAATGGAAGGGGTCTGAATACTTTCCGAATGCACTGTATGTAATATCTATGTAGGCTGAATTAAGAATTTACATGGCCAGATAATTGTTATATATTCTTATATTTATGTTGGTAGGACAAGGCTATGTCTGTTTAGTCACATGGAAGTCAGTGATTTATGTTTACTATAGGTTAATGTGGCAATACAAATGTGATGTGATAAAATGAAAGGGCATTTAGTTGACTAAAATGGCCCACTGTTTTTGTCATTTTGACAATAACTAGACTAAATCATTATTCAAATGACAGAAATTTGACTAAGACTTAATTAGATTTTAGTCAAAATGACTAAGACTAGACTAAATCTAAAAAACTGTGCCAAAATTAACACTGCTCAATACCAGCCCTCGGCACACTACACTGCACATTTACAAACAGTGTAATCAAGGGACTTGTTTTGACAAAAATGTTTACATAGCAGATTGTCAGGTAACCTTCTACATTATTTTATTGTTTGTGAATTAACTAAAGTGGGACCCACATCCATTGTTGGGTAACATGGGTTATATGAGTTGACAGCTGTGAGCAATTGAAAATGTACAAATGAGTTAGTTTATGCTGCCCTCATGTGGCAAGTCATAACTCTCAACCCCCCCCCCCCCCCCCCCCTCCTCTCTCTCTCTCTCTCCCATTCCTCCCTCTCTCTCTCTCTCTCTCTCTCCCTCTCCTCCTCCACTCCTCACCCCTCTCTCTCTCTCTCTCTCTCTCTCCCCACTCCTCCCTCTCTCTCTCTCCCACTCCTCCCCCTCTCTCTCTCTCTCTCTCTCTCCTCTTCCTCTCCACTTCCTTTTCATCTCTCCCGCTCAATTTCAATTGAATTTAAGGGCTTTATTGGCATGGGAAACATATGTTTACATTGCCAAAGCAAGTGAAATAGATAATAAACAAAGGTGAAATAAACAATACAAAAAAAAATAACAGTAAACATCACACTCACAAAAGTTCCAAAAGAATAAAGACATTTCAAATGTCATATTATGTATATATACAGTGTTGTAACGATGTCCAAATAGTTAAAGTACAAAAGGGAAAATAAATAAACATAATTATGGGTTGTATTTAAAATGGTGTTTGTTCTTCACTGGTTGCCCTTTTCTTGTGGCAACAGGTCACACATCATCTCTCTCTCTCTCTCCTCTCTCTCTCTCTCTCTCTCTCTGTCCTCTCTCCCTCTCTAGATGGAGCCTAAGCGTCTGAAGAAGGACCTAGTAAAGGTGTTGAAGTCCATAAAGCCTGAGGATCGTGTTCTGGTCGTAGGGACGTCCCGGAGGCCCTTTGACGCAGACCTCAAGCCCTTCTGTAAAGTCTATAGGAAGATCATCCTCATCCCCAGACCTGACTACGCCTCCAGACTGGGTGGGTTGTCTATAGTGGTTTATAGTGGTCTATAGTGGCTTATAGTGGCCTATATTGGTTTATAGTGGTCTATAGCAGTCTATAGTGGCCTATAGTGGTTTATAGTGGTTTATAGTAGTCTATAGTGGTCTATATTGGTTTATAGTGGCCTATAGTGGTTTATAGTGGTCTATAGTGGTCTATAGTGGTTTATAGTGGTTTATAGTAGTCTATAGTGGTCTATAGCTGGGCCAACCTGATGGCTATGGCCAAACAGAATCTGTGGCGGTTTCATTCCCTGAAGCCACCTAGAAATTGATATGAAAAATACTGGTGGAATGAATTCATATGATAGGCCTACCAGTAAACATGCATCTTTTCAAATCGTTTTTTTCTCTTTCATCCACATAAATCCATTCATTTTGTATTCATTGCCCACTTCTGGTTTGAACACGAACCTTTCTATCCCTGTCTGTGCTGTGTCCTCCAGTGCTGTGGAGGGAGCTGCTGCGTGGCGGTGGTGCTCACCTCCCCCCCAGCCTGGACCTGAGCTCCCTGGCCAAGGTGACAGATGGCTACACCCAGGGCCACATCCTGCAGGCTGTGAGGCTGGTTCTGACCCCTCGCAGGCTGGCCCAGCAGACTACCAGATCACTGACCGCTGCAGAGTTCATACCTCCACTGGCCAGACAGGACCCTGTCTACAAGGAGGAGGAGGAGGCATTTAAGGTGTAGTAGAATCAATCAATTAATGAATCAATTAATCACCTTTGATTTGTATAAAGCTTTTTTACATATGCTTATCACCAAAGTGATAGCAACCCGAACGAGCCTTAACTCCCACAGAAATTAGAGGTGACAATTGGCAAGCTCCCTATGTAGGAGGAAGGAAGTGTTTATTTTGCCGTTATAACAGTGCAAATGGTACTCTGTAGCTCAGTTGGTAGAGCATGGCGCTTGCAATGTCAGGATAGTGGGTTTGATTCCCGGGACCACCCATATGTAAAAATAAAATAAAAATACAGGCATGACTGTAAGTGGCTTTGGTTAAATGTGTCTGCTATTTGGCATATTATTATATATAAAAATAAATTTTGCCTCTGGTGTGCGGATTGGTCAACATCTATTCTCATCAGATATGAATTCAGTATATAATCAGAATTCAGTACTATCCAATGAACTCCATATATAAATTTGAGTCATGCTCCAACAATCACCACATGGGGGCGCTGTGTTCCTACAGTTAGGAAGGGAATGCCACTGTATAACAGGCTTCATTTTCTCCAACTGTTGATTGATGTGTGTGAATGTGTTGCCAGATGTGGTACGGCAAGACACCGTTGGGTAAGAAGAGGGCACGGGCGGCCAAGGCCATCGAGGAGGAGGGAGAGTCGGGCAAGGACAAAGACAAGCGGGGCAGTGGGAAGAAGAGAGGGAAAGAAGGGAAAAGCAAGAAGAAGAAAAATAAGTAAACGCCAAAGACAAAAGATAGACGTGGTCAACATTGGGGAGGTATACAGATAGGGACTTTCATTGGAAGTGAATTACATTCCTAGTTCTTAGATATGATGGACGTTACATTTAGTGCCAGTCTATGAATGTAAATATCATGTCAACAGTATAACGGTAACAGTCGATCATGGGTGATCTGAAAAGTCATAGTCAATCGATCAATAATATAATAATACTTTTAGCAAAAAAATGTTTATTTACAATCTGTAGAAACAATGAGAATAGAAGGGTTCAGAACTTTTGTGAAAGTCACAGTACAGTTGAAATATATATGGCAAATAGAAATCCAATATGGATGGTGTTAAGAGATAGATGGGAGGTGTTGAATGGAGCTGAAGGATGGGACTAATAACAACTAATAACAACAAGATAACTAAAGTAAAGCATACTGTGTCCATAATAAGTATATAGGTTATAGGTTGAGAGCTTTTGTGAAAGTGAACAGTTAGAAAGATATGGCATATAGAAGCAAACCGGATGGACATCATGAACATGATTGGAGAGGTTGAGGGTAGAGGAAGTTCAGGAGTAGAAAACAAACAAAATATAATTATTGTAAGATTGACTGTGTCCATAAAATGTATATAGTATGTATAAACTGGAAGTATAGGCCTAAGCATTGTTGTTCACTAGTTTACTCCAATTAGGGAATGGGTGGTGGGGTTGGAAAGTAATAAAGGGAAATATATTTTTAAAAAGGATATGTATATATATTTATGTACAGTTGAAGTCGGAAGTTTACATAAACTTAGGTTGGAGTCATTAAAACTTGTTTTTCAACCACCACAAATTTCTTGTTAACAAACTATAGTTTTGGCAAGTCGGTTAGGACATCTACTTTGTGCATGACACAAGTAATTTTTCCAACAATTGTTTACAGACAGATTATTTCACTTATAATTCACTGTATCACAATTCCAGTGGGTCAGAAGTTTACATACACTAAGTTGACTGTGCCGTTAAACAGCTTGGAAAATTCCAGAAAATGATGTCATGGCTTTAGAAGCTTCTGATAGGCTAATTGACATCATTTGAGTCAATTGGAGGTGTACCTGTGGATGTATTTCAAGGCCTACCTTCAAACTCAGTGCCTCTTAGCTTGACATCATGGGAAAATGTAAAGAAATCTGCCAAGACCTCAGAAAAAAAATTGTAGACCTCCACAAGTCTGGTTCATCCTTGGGAGCAATCTCCAAACGCCTGAAGGTACCACGTTCATCTGTACAAACAATAGTACGCAAGTATAAACACCATGGGACCACGCTGCCGTCATACCGCTCAGGAAGGAGACGCGTTCTGTCTCCTAGAGATGAACGTACTTTGGTGCGAAAAGTGCAAATCAATCCCAGAACAACAGCAAAGGACCATGTGAAGATGCTGGAGGAAACAGGTACAAAAGTATCTATATCCACAGTAAAACGAGTCCTATATCGACATAACCTGAAAGGCCACTCAGCAAGGAAGAAGCCACTGCTCCAAAACCGCCATAAAAAAGCCAGACTACGGTTTGCAACTGCACATGGGGACAAAGATCGTACTTTTTGGAGAAATGTCCTCTGGTCTGATGAAACAAAAATAGAACTGTTTGGCCATAATGACCATCGTTATGTTTGGAGGAAAAAGGGGAAGGATTGCAAGCCAAAGAACACCATCCCAACCGTGAAGCACGTGGGTGGCAACATCATGCTGTGGGGGTGCTTTGCTGCAGGAGGGACTGGTGCACTTCACAAAATAGATGGCATCTTGAGGAAGGAAAATGATGTGAATATACTGAAGCAACATCTCAAGACATCAGTCAGGAAGTTAAAGCTTGGTCGCAAATGGGTCTTCCAAATGGACAATGACCCCAAGCATACTCCCAAAGTTGTGGCAAAATGGCTTAAGGGCAACAAAGTCAAGGTATTGGAGTGGCCATCACAAAGCCCTGACCTCAATCCAATAGGAAATGTGTGGGCAGAACTGAAAAAGCATTGTGCAAGCAAGGAGGCCTACAAACCTGACTCAGTTACACCAGCTCTGTCAGGAGGAATGGGCCAAAATTCACCCAACTTATTGTGGGAAGCTTGTGGAAGGCTACCCGAAACGTTTGACCCAAGTTAAACAATTTAAAGGCAATGCTACCAAATACTAATTGAGTGTATGTAAACTTCTGACCCACTGGGAATGTGATGAAAGAAATAAAAGCTGAAATAAATCATTCTCTGTACAATTATTCTGACATTTCACATTCTTAAAATAAAGTGGTGATCCTAACTGACCTAAGACAGGGAATTTTTACTAGGATTAAATGTCAGGAATTGTGAAAAACTGAGTTTAAATGTATTTGGCTAAGGTGTATGTAAACCTCCGACTTCAAGTGTATATGGATTTATATGTATGTATGTATGTGTATGTATATGTATATATACACTACCGTTCAAAAGTTTGGGGTCACTTAGAAATGTCCTTGTTTTCTAAAGAAAAGCACTTTTTTTGTCCATTAAAATAACATCAAATTGATCAGAAATACAGTGTAGACATTGTTAATGTTGTAAATGGCTATTGTAGCTGGAAACGGCTGATCTTTCATGGAAGATCTACATAGGCGTGCAGAGGCCCATTATCAGCAACCATCCTGTGTTCCAATGGCACGTTGTGTTTGCTAATCCAAGTTTATCATTTTAAAAGGCTAATTGATCATTAGAAAACCCTTTTGCAATTATGTTAGCACAGCTGAAAACTGTTGTGCTGATTAAAGAAGCAATAAAACTGGCCTTCTTGAGATTAGTTGAGTATCTGGAGCATCAGCAATTGTGGGTTCGATTACAGGCTCAAAATGGCCAGAAACAAATAACTTTCTTCTGAAACTCGTCAATCTATTCTTGTTCTGAGAAATGAAGGCTATTCTATGCGAGAAATTGCCAAGAAACTGAAGATCTCGTAAAGAAAAAGCCATATCTCAGACTGGCCAATAAAAATAAAAGATTAAGATGGGCAAAAGAACACAGACACTGGACTTTTTCTTTGCAACTCTGCCTAGGTCAGCATCCCGGAGTCGCCTTTTCACTGTTGACGTTGAGACTGGTGTTTTGCAGGTACTATTTAATGTAGCTGCCAGTTGAGGACCTGTGAGGCGCCTGTTTCTCAAACTAGACACTCTAATGTATTTGTCCTCTTGCTCAGTTGTGCACAGGGGCCTCCCACTCCTCTTTCTATTCTGGTTAGAGCCAGTTTGCGATGTTCTGTGAAGGGAGTAGTACACAGCGTTGTACGAGATCTTCAGTTTCTTGGCAATTTCTCGCATGGAATAGCCTTCATTTCTCAGAACAATAATAGACTGACGAGTTTCAGAAGAAAGTTATTTGTTTCTGGCCATTTTGATCCTGTAATCGAACCCACAATTGCTGATGCTCCAGATACTCAACTAGTCTCAAGAAGGCCCGTTTTATTGCTTCTTTAATCAGCACAACAGTTTTCAGCTGTGCTAACATAATTGCAAAAGGGTTTTCTAATGATCAATTAGCCTTTTAAAATGATAGAAAACACAACGTGCCATTGGAACACAGGACTGATGGTTGCTGATAATGGGCCTCTGTACGCCTATGTAGATATTCCATAAAAAATCAGCCGTTTCCAGCTACAATAGCCATTTACAACATTAACAATGTCTGCACTGTATTTCTGATCAATTTGATGTTATTTTAATAGACAAAAAAATTGCTTTTCTTTCGAAAACATGGACATTTCTAAGTGACCCCAAAATTTTGAACGGTAGTGTATGTATAAATATATATATTTGCAAGAAAAAAAAACATATGGGGGATTGGAAGTGATGCAGACAATTACATTGATGGAAGTTACAAATCTATCTGCAATATTGAAGATGATCTACCCCCCCCCCCCCCCCCCCCCCCCCGCCAAAAAAAAGGGAAAAAATAAAATGATGACAAAATAATAATACATTAAAAAAAATTTAAAAAAATAATAAACAGTCGATCATGTTAAAATCATAATGAAAAAAGTAATGGTTTATCTTGTACGAGAGCAGATATAAAGTATGAAAAATAAATCATTGTTATCGCAGTGTAAATATTTTGGATGGAAATAAGTGTTCTTGATGTTAGTCCAAATGGATCACAGCAGTATAATTTCATGAGATTCTATTTAGGGAATGTTTATTTTCAGTCTCTGACTGTTTTGACCATTAGAAGCTAATTAGCCTTGTTGATGAACGCTGAGTTGTTTAAACTGGGAGCTCTGCGCTGCAGTGTGGGGGGGGGGGGGGGTCTGTTGGCGTACTGAGACTCACAAACCCCCCCCAAATACACCCCAGCCCAGCCCTGGGCTCCCCTCTCCCCCCTGTCCTGAGACAAATCATCATTAACCACCTACAGAACCACGAGACCGTGCAACAATGGAGGGATTCCTATCAAACATTAGTTGCTAACCGTAATGATGAAAAAACACAGTATACGAAATAAATGAATTAATGAAACAAACGGTGCCTTGTATTTCCTGTCTGTCTTCCTCTCTCTCTCTCTGTCTGTCTGTCTGTCTGTCTCTCTCTCTCTCTCTCTCTCTCTCTCTCTCTCTCTGTCTGTCTTCCTCCTCCCTCTCTCTCTCTCTCTCTCTCTCTCTCTCTCTCTCTCTCTCTCTCTCTCTCTCTCTCTCTCCTTTCCTCAGCCATCGTTGGGTTTGCGTGGCTTCTGTGCCATGGAGTCTGTTAATTAGCCTGTGTAATTGTCATTGTTGCCAGTTAAATCCAGGGGGGCTTCAGGCAGAGAGGCACGGTGCAGTGTAGCAGCACCTTGTCCCAGATCGCCCCTGTGTTACTGTTTACACCCAGCTAGCGCTAACAAGCCAGCCTGCCCTACCAAGCGGCTGACCCACTTCCCAGCCCCAGCAAGCCTCTTCTAGCTCCCCAAGGACCAACTACTCCCCCCCCTCCTGCCCCCCCCCCCCTTTCACTGGCCATCTTTAA